TTTGTTGTTATTTCAAAAGGGTACTTGATTCCTTCAGTTTTCACTATTTTTCCCCTGTTGATGGTAAGGGTGGCACATTTGTCAAGTCCAAACTTCACTGCAATATCTTGGCTGTATATTCAGACAGTGTTGAGCAGTTGTTGTTGTTACTATTATTATATTTTTTTAATGGGCTGGTCTAGACAGTGGGCATTTGGCATTATTGTAAATATATGTACAGGCACAACAGACTGAAATATTTATATTTGAAAATGCACAGAGGCATATAAACAACATATAATCATACCTTTATTACAAATAACAGAATAATTTGGGGGGGGGGACAGCCACACAATTGTAATTTTTTTCCCCACAAGTCTGCATGAAGAAAAAGTGGAAACATTTGTTAGTACAGTACAGGCTGATAGGAATCAAGAACTTCAGAGAAAGTCTGATATTTAACTCAAACAAATCTGTGCTAAGCAAAATTGTTTCAACTTAAGTCAACTTTTTCAAAGAGGAACTTTGTATATGCCAAAAGGCTGCAAATGCAAAACAACTGCAGTGCACAGAAAGTTACTTTTACTTTTTGCACCTACAGTGCTGTGTACAGCCTTCCATTAAGCTACAAGACAGCATCGTCTAATGACTCTGGAAGGACTTACCCATACATCAGCAAAGCATGTTGTTTAACCACATGATTATACCACAACAGCAACGTCCACACAACATGCAAAATCAAAATCAAAACCAAACCATACTGCAGTTTAGCATGATGAACTCAGTCACTGTTGATACTGATGCTGTAGTATTTGTAGGGATGAAAGACACTCCACTAACAACTGGTTTTCCTTTTGCATTAAAAATAATTTATTTTCTGACAACCTATGAAATTATTTCTTCATTTCTTGGACATGAAACCAGGGTAGCCTTTCCCTCCTACTACTGCTAGTTTGCAAATGTTACACTAATATTGGCATATGTCCTATGGAACATCTTCAGACAGGGGTGGCTATTTAGGGCCACATGAATGGACATTTAGAATGGCTCTACCTGCAATTACTGTATATGCAAGTCTGTAATACACATGTACCTGTATGCATCTTGAAAATATTTATATCCTTTTTGCACCTTGAATTACATTGATTTTATGAACAAAACTCACTAAATTATGCCTACATACAGTATGGCCAAATTTGTGTATTTATGTTTCCAGAATCACTGTGACTTGGGACTTGGTTTGACTAAAAGAGGGGTGCTCTCTGTTTAAAATGTTCCACAACCCAATTTTTCATAGAATACTGCCTGCCTAGAATGAACTAAATACATGTTGAATGATAAGGGTAGGCTTAAACTGAACACCTTAACTAGTAAATAATCAAAACCCTTTAAATAAATACATAAAAATCTAACATAATCTGTCCTCTGGAGGAAAAAAGTGTGCCTCCTCTTAATCCCGGAAAATACAAAGACATGTTAGGATTACTTATTTCTTGTGTTGTTTGGGTACTTTCCTTCCCACTAGAAACTTTCTGTGGCGGTGGATGCAGCCTTATCTGAGTTGTCTTCTTACCTAGCGAGCCGACATCTCTGATACCAACGAAGTCAGTGGTCTGATGCACAGTATACTAGACTGTGCTGGGAATTAATCCGAGTTCAGTCTCCATTGGCAACCCCAGGTAAGATTGGGTCTATCTAGATTCCTGAAACGCTGCTGCAAACTACTGTACAATATTAATCTTCATGGACCCGGATAGTTTCTCTTTAATTCAGTGGGGAGCTGAGGAACACCCAGCAGTTGGACAAAGCAGGACGAAAGCGCAGGGCGCTACCAGGAGCACACACGCAGCCATCCTCCAGGGCTGAGAACCGAACATCGGCTCCCAGACGTTCTGAGAACGCGCGTTCCGGGCCCCTCCTTCGCCCAGCTCGTAATTCAGGGTAGCGCGTGCGCTCTGTCAGGGCGGAACGCTTCGTTCCCGCTGAGTCGAGGCCTCGCGAGATCGTTTGATGAGGGGCGTAGCGGAAGCTGTTCTGCGGCTCTCCTGCTGAGAGGTAAGAAGCGCCCGAGGTGGAGAGGAAAGCGGGGGGCGCTCGGAGCGGGGCCCCAGCTTATGGTGAGCTGGCTGGGGCGGCCTGGCTGGGGCGATCGAGTGGGTGCCTCCCGGGCACGCAAGTTATCGTGGGGTCTCTTTCTGGCTCGCCAAGCGGGCGGGTGGCCCCAGCCTGTCAAGGGGGTTCTGGCGCGGGCGCTCGTTTCCGACAGCAGGATGCCAGTTTGCGCGCGCCTGAACTTTCCCTTTCTCAGCTTCGCTCTTGCTGGCGGAAAGCCGTGCAAGTTCTCGAGAAGCGGGCGGGGGGGGGGTCCTTTTCGCCTCCGCCCTGGAATTGCTAACTTATGAAACCTCCCTCTCTTGTTTGCAAGTCCTCTACTGGCTTTGGTGAGGTTTTTTGTTTTGCTTTTTTGTGGACTAGTGTTTGGCCTCGATACAAGGCAGCTTTTATATTCATACGAAATTAGGCCGGTAGGAAAACAGTTTTCCTGAATATAATAGTTTGCATGCTAGTTCGTGCCGCTCAATGTGGTTGTATGATAAAGCAGGTCGATGCATAAAAAGCGGGTGTTATAATAAGTTTATTTCGGTCATTGATCAGTCCAAGATAAAATTTGAAAATTATGGAGTTTATAATCAGATTATAAACTCCATAATTTTCAAATGTTGTCTTGTGCTACAACCTGAAAAGTGGATGCTACACTGAGTCTTCAGTAAAAATGGCGGGTAGGTGAGGGGAATATTAGCAGTAAGATTTTGAATCGTACATCAAGATCCAGCTTGATCTTGGGATTGTCAGTGAACCTTCTCATGCATGTATAGGTTTGCTGTTTTGAGAGATTATAGGCATGTGACTAGACATACACATCATGGTATACAGTGAGAGGATTAGGATATTAGGATAAAAGTTGTATTGACAGAAGCTGTTTAGGCAGCTGAATGGTTCTAGATTTCAAATCAAGTTCCAACTAATGCTGTAATTATTTACCATTTTTTCTTCTCTGGAAGCAATTTGATTATTTCTTTGAATAGAAATACAGCTGTTACCACTTCACAATGGCAGTAGTCTTTGTTTAAAAATACAATATTTAAGATTATGTGCCAGTATGAGAATGCATCATTTCCATAACCAATAGTTCAACTAAGGAAGGCTTGAAACTACATCTGATATTTATGTATGTATTCTGTCTTTAGTGTGAAGCTAAGGATATTGTTACCAACCTCTGTGTGCCAAAAGAGTGTCCAGTTCAGAAACATCTTCCATCTCAAGTTTTTTTTTCTTTCCTCACTGATTGTAACTAAAAGGAGGAAGTAGCTAAGCTCCCCTTCCAGTGTCATGTGATCAAATATTTCTGAATACTTTCTGCAACTACATTAATACTTAGTTCTTAAATTTCTTTTTATGTACTGTGCAAAATCATTATGACTATACTTATAGGGTAAAGGTACCTTAAAGTGTATATGTGTCAAAAGTGTATCAAAGCCAACCTCTTTACCTATTTTGACAACTGTTAACAAGGTATAGGATAATATCTTAGCCCTTTCTGCATTTTAGGTAAGGGATGTTACGAGCTTCTAAGGAAGAAAAAAAAGTTGCCATAAGGCTCTCTTCCCCAATAATACTTTCCACTTTATTTAGAACTATTTCAGTGCTAGCCTTGAATTATTTTTATTGATTATAGAAAAACTACTCTTATCAGTTATCAAAAAAATAGTCTCTATACCAGACTTTTTAACGTAACCATCCAGCTCACATGCTTATGTAGAATATTCATGTCCTGAAAGAGAGGAAGAAAAAAAAAGGCTATTATAAGCCTTGACTACTGGAACAAGGAGGAAGTGAACCATTGTTCCTGCTGCTAAAGATTTTGCATAATGAGACTGATCTGGTTCCCTGGAAAAAGATGGTTAACTTTACTGTCTTCTTCCTAAGTTAAGTCCTGTTCTCCCTGCAGCATTTTGTAAAATATGGCTATTGGTACAGGAAGTTTAACAATGCAAAGTGTTTGCTTAATCCAGGACTATCTTTTTCAGTTGAATAAGACTTGATAATTTTTTATTAAATTAGATGGCTTCTTGTTTTGGTCAACTGTTAAAATTAGCTAAAATATGAGCATCTTGAATATAAAGTGAGTGTATTGTACTAGCCTTGAATTTAACCAGTTTGCGACTTTCCACAGGTAACTAAGAATGTTATCCAGGCAAGAGAACTGACTACCAAAAGAGGAATAGATCCTCTGACACTTCCCTAGTTTGTGATGGACATAAGGTGAACATTATTAACCCACCTTCTTGCCACTTAGTTTTTGTACACCCACCAGTACAAAAACTAAGTAGGTTGCCAGCAGAGGAACAAATCATCCTTTTTTGCTGTAGCCCATTGTAATGCTGTTCTGGGTATGCAAAAGGAAAAGCCCAACTTATTTGGCCAGCATAGAAATTACTGGAACAGCAGCAAAAGCATGAAGCTTCATCCTCCAGTAGTACATAGGTTTTTATACTGGATAATTCTTTTATGCCTATATATTAGTGCTTCAAGAAACATTTACTATTTATTTGCTTGTTTGATGTATATAGTGCTGTTTATTCAGGAGTTGTACAGCTTTCCCTCCTCCTCCTACAACATCAGCCCTGTGAAGTAGGTTGGGCTGAGAGAGACACTGCCCAAAGTTATCCAGTGAGCTTCTATGGTTAAGGATAGACTTGAACCTGAGTCTCCTCAATGTCAGTCCAACACCACAGAGGTGTGATAAAAACTCTCTCTGGTAAAAAAAAGGTTGATCTTTGGTGATTGTCAAACCTTTAAGCAGTGATATATTTGCAAGATATATTTGTAGGTTTATTATGTATCAATCAACTCATAAATCCTCTAATGCTCAGTGCTAATAATGCACTGAAAATTATGTCATGAAAGGAAAGTAACATGTCTAAATGACTGTTGTTTAATCATGAATCTACATACCTATACACAGCTTGTTTGAGAAAATGGTTTGAATGAAAAAATATTGGGGGATGAAGAAATACTCTGCTATATAAATAAATCTGTTCCCATTTGTATCCATGAGTACCATTTTGCAGATAAATGTATTTACTAGTCTTTTATACATGATTTTAAAAAAACTTCAGTTAATACTATCTAAAGCCTTTCTAGATCAGACCAGAGAAATAAAGCATTCTGCTCCTATCATAGCTAATCAGAATCCTATAATAACTGACTAGTAGTATGGTAGTCACTTCTAATTGTGTGAATAAAATTTATGTTCCTAGGAATTTTAACCTTGGCACTGGAAATTACAGTCACTGCTAGTAGAATTTATAACTATGTCCTGAATAAATTTGTCTGATATCTTTTTAAAGTCCTCTAGGCTGTTATCATTAACATATTGTGGTATCAGACTCTTTACACTGTGTGAAAAACACTTGGTTTTGTCTGCCCTTAATTCCCCACTTTTCAGCCTCTTTGGATAAGCCCAGATTCTAATATTATGAAGCAGAAAGAAAAAAACAATTCCTATCTGTTTTCTCCACTGTAATGGCACTGTGTTTTTCCCTTTTTTACCCCTAAGCTTTTTGAATCAGTTCTTAATTATCCATCATGGGATTTTCACAACTGCTTGTACATGCACATCTGGCCAGTTTCCATGTATGTCACTAATAACTGAGGCAGTTAGTTCAAAATGTGCACTTCCTTCTGCATTATTTATTTCACTGATTAACTCACACTGGATTTACCAAAATTGCAGTCTGGAAACTGAGTAATATGCAAGCAGAGGAAATTGTACGCATTTCCTTTGCAGATCATTTTGTAATATGTATTTTTGCAATGATTTAGGCAAAATATCTGTTTTTAGAATTTTATATTTACTGTCTGTATTCCATACTTAAGCAAATTCAGCAACAGGGTGAAAAGTGTCATACTAAATCATGTCAGCAATTTCCTGATAAGTCTAGCTTTCCTTACTATTATGACTCTGTAAAAAACAAAACTTACTGAGTTATTGTTTTGTATTATACATCACTTATGCTTGTAAAGTGAAGTGATATTGTAAACTATCTGTCCAAATAAGACTAGACATTTTGTAAATTGTTTTGCTCAATAAACATTCTTGTCTTTTAATTTTTATCCCATTGTTCTCTCAAGCCTGTTTTTATATGTCTACTTGCTGTTGTTTTTAGTGTAATGCTATAATTTCTGACTAGTTAAAGCCTTGCAAGCCAATTCAAGGCAAAATAATCAAGCTGTTCTTTATTGAAAGCATTTTGGCTCAGGTAGACAATGGACTGTGTTGGTTTGGTATTGTATTACTGTTTGCAGAACAATCATCAAGTTTAGATTTGTAGACCTGGTTTTTCAAGCATTATACTATTGTAATTAATGTATTAATGTCAGCAGGAAGCAGCCACAAATCCTTCAGGCAACCAGTGGTGCACTTTGTCTAGTAGAAAATGAGAGAAAGAATTATCACCTGTGTTTCCTCAAAGTTTTTACTGTATCAGAAAAAGAGGAGGATTCTGCCATGCTAGAGAGGGGGAAAAAATGCTAACCGTCTCCCAAGTTGTCTGTTAGACAACTAGGAGGAAAGAAAAAGATCTGTATCTCACTTAGTACTAGAATTTTGACTGGGTTCTCACATTGTCCTAAACCATAAAGTAGTGGCTTTTATTTTGGCTTAACTTGACGAGTGAACCCAACCACCAGAAGCAGGGTGATAGAGTGGGTGATTTTGTACAACACATTAAAGTATATTGAGATTAGACCTAAGAATGGTGTCTGAGTCATACCATGGCTGAGTTTCTTTCTACCTTATTTACAGTTTGTAGCTGTGTCTTGTTTTAAGTTAGCTTCTCAGAGTCCACTCTACTTTGCAGTTTTTGATGAGGTAAGAAATAGCAAAAGCCCCTTTAAAGCAGCAGGAAAACTCTTAGGAGCTTTGCACATTGCATGAAACTATGCACCTTGGTTTACTGAAACTAATCCCAGCCACTGTGATTTGCAAACCATGGCTTGTATTTTACTATCATGTGTGACTGACTACTATGAGATGTTCACCAAACTATAGTTAAAACCATGGGTTTTCATTTAAAAGGATTACAAATGATTGTCCAGTTAAAATGTGTGTTTGCATGAGTTATAGTGGTTAACAAAGTGTAGTGTTGGGATTGTACAGTTTTTTCCCAGTTCTGGTTTTGAAAAATATAGCTGTTCACAATTTATATCCAATTTGTATCATATCTATAATCATACATATTTATTATAGGCTTGTATCCCAGTTTATGTGTGCTTTTATACACAGTCATTGTTTACTAACTCTAGCAATGAATGGGGCTTGCTTATAAATATAACTAGGACCATAGATTTGTCATATTTATGTATCTGCCAGATTGTACTTAATGTGTTTTAAAATATAAGCAATTTGGCACAGGAATGAGAATCCTCTTTTAGGTATATATTTGAATGTTATGATTCCATGTCTAGATTATAGACAGATTGCGGTTTCTTCTGATTACTTTGCTTGTAATTAGAGCTAAAATATTTAATCAATTGTTAACATTATTGTACATATTTTACATATTTAAATGTTTTCCAGCATTTGAGCTTAATTCTGTAAAGCTGGAAGAACTTCAGTTTTCCAGTTAGTAAAACCAAAGTTTCTGTGATAGGTGATCTTACTATTGAGATAGGTGTTTCTCCCTCAGGCCCAGCAGATGACTTTGTTGGCTTCAGATTTATTGTATAGTATTGCTATTAATGTAAAGAGTAAGGACTTTCCTGCAATACTGTGGAATCAACTATGCATCCTTTAGAATACAGCCTGTTTCTTTGAAGGGGGTGTGTCTGTAAAAGCTTATGCAATAATGAATTTGTTAGTTTGTAAGCTGCCACAATATGGTTATGCTTTATGTATATTACATTTGAACATTTGGTTTTTTCATTCTCTGTAATAAATACAAGGATTTTTGATTACTTGTACATCAGACTTCAAATAATGGCAGTCTGGTAAGTATTATGTTGTTAATGTATTATGTTGTTAAAGTACAGGGCAATTTCACCCATATTTCTATTTTCAAAATATTGTCTTTTATACAGTATGCACCTTTTTAAAGGATAATTCTGGCACAACTATCCCCCCCTCCCAAAAGGGGGAAGATATGCAAGAATTAGTTGTGATTCTGGGAGACTGGAAACAATATTTTCTCTGAACAGTGGAGGAATGGGTACAGAGGCTGATAGCATAGGGGAAAGTTTTATTTCCTCTCCTTTTGAAGAAAGCTTTTTTTCTGAAAACTTGTCAAGACATGTTTGTAGTTTACTAAGTAAAAACTGAGCACGATCCTGTGTTCCACTTGAAAGTAAGCTGGAGTCAAATTTTCCCCCACACCCCTAGCCCTGAATTTAGACATTCTATTCAGGACTGTAGCCTTGGCCTTTAAATAGAAAAGGGAACGGCCTGTTCTATTATAGCAAAGGGCGTGGGGGGGGGCAGTTATATATAAGACCATCGGAAGTATTTTATGTTTAATTCAAGGAGCCGCGCATCTAAACGATTGGTTGCTATTTGGAATCTCTTCAGAACTGGAGAATACGTGTTTTGCTCTTGGGTCGTGTGACTTTAGCGCTGTGCGTGAGCTGAACGTTTATCCGTTCAAGAGAACTCCCGGTTTTTGCACTCAAGGGAGGGGGTCGATTTTGCTGCTCTCAGAGCAGCGAGCGTCCCTTCGGCACAGAAGCCCGGCTTTATGTGTCGGCTCCGCTTTGGAGGGCGAGCAGCAGCTGCTCCAGAGCGAGGAGGAGGGGCGTGAAGAGGTCGATTTCTTTCCCTATCCTGTTCGGTGGCTGGAGTGGGGGAGTCTGCGTCTGTCCTCTTCTAGGGGCTGCTATTGGCCGTAGTAAGTGCCACTCGGCGCTTCCTGCCTGCGCCGGGAGCTGAAAGAGAGGTTGCAGAAAGAGGAAGCGGCAAAGCTGAGTTGAGTCGAGAGGAGGGAGAGGTGCAGGGCGCGGTCCCTGTCATTGATCCGGGCTACTTCCCTCAATGTTCCCTCTCTTCCTTCCCTCTTAGGGCGGATTGGCCCTCGCTGTTTCCCTTGTCTATGCGAAAGACAGAGCCAGAGGTCGGGCAGAAAGGGCAGCGCGGACGAGAGGCAAAGCTAAGCCGGGCGTTCCCGGAGAAGGCTTCAGGGAGAGAGCGCCTTTTCCTCTTCGTTGCCATCCAAGAGCGACCCGAGCATGGAAGCTGTCGCCAAATACGATTTCAAAGCCACCGCAGACGATGAGCTCAGTTTCAAACGGGGAGATATTCTGAAGGTAGGTGGTGCACAAAGAGGCCAAGATTGCCCTCTTCAGGCTTTCTCCGAAATGATTGTCTCTAGAAACTCCATCACATCATTCCTAAGACCTTGTATCGCTCCCCACCTCCCACACGCTGAATTTGTCTTTGTTCCGTTGACGTAGAATTACCTTTTGGTAGTTTTACTGTTCATCTAAAGGTTGGGTGGTAGAGCTACACTAATGTTTTATTGCAGTTTGCTGTATGATGCTGCAGGTTTACATAGTCCTCAGTTACTTCCTTCCCATTTTTAATGTCTGTTTCCTCCTCCTCCCTTTGCTAGTGTCAGATTCCCTGCCTACTAAGCAAGAAAGACAGAGTTACCACCAGTGAGTGCTGCTAAGAACAGCATTCTTTGTGTGTATCAGTTCTGCTTAGAAATATTGTTCTGCTGCCCTGTGCAATTGATATTCTTCTGGCTACATAATTTTAAACTCATTTTTTATGATGTATATGTACATCTATCAGCTGAAGATAACATTTAATACCTCTTGGAAAGACAACTCTGTGTGTGGACTTCAACTCCCAGAGTTTCCCAGTGAGGATGAGTATTGTTAAGGATTCTGGGAATTAAAGTCCACATTCTTGAAGTTGCCATGGTTGGGAAACGCTGCGGTAGTTCATGAAAAGTAATACTGTACTGTACTACAACAATGTCCCAGGAATCTGTGTTTCTTTTAGTATAGCATACCCCCAAAAATACAGTGTAGCTTTCTTTATATTTTCAGCTTAGAATTACTGAGGGAAGAGGAGATCTTGGAGATCTTTATAAAAAAAAATTACTTTATTTCTCTTCTGTGTTTCCTCCCAAAGGAAACTCTATAAGTTTCTATAAGCTCTATAAGTTCAGTTAATATTGTATAGAAGTAAAGGGTATAATTTTGATGTATAAAATTCACCTTCAATTTGAAATCTTGATGATTGTGATAACTTTCTTTTGTTAAGCTTCTAATAAAACAATGGGACAGTTCAGTTGAGCATCAAGATAAATTTAGAATATGGTATGCTTAGCATTTTCTGGAATGTAGTCCATATTTTTTATAATTATATAAAGTCTTGGGAAAGTTTGTAGATAACAAAATACAACTATATAATTATACAACAGGGCAACAATGTATTTTTAATTAATTTAAAAATATATGTATCCCACCATTCTGCCTACAGGCTACTAGGTAACTAAAAATAAATGAATATGCATTTAAAATGTTAAAGCAGGCCTGCTTAAGAGAAGCTCTGGGATGGGAGATTTGTAGTGTCAAACTCTGTGTCTTTGGTCTTCCTCCAAAAGATAAAACTAAAGCAACTCAGATGCCATGTTTGGGGAGAAAAGAAAAGGCTGGAAGGCTTAAATCAGGTTAGCCTTATTTTTCCTGTCTTCATGTTAGATTGAATTGTAAATATTGATATTGTGAATAGTTTAGGCATTAATTATATTTAGAACTTCCTTGTATTCTTTACCAATGACGTATTTTCTATTTACTAATATCTGATTAAAAGTCTAAATGATCTTCAATGTTAATTAGATGTGGTACATCTAATTCAGGCGATGTGGGGAAGGAAAACTAATATTCATAGGGTCTTTCCAATGTGGTTAACATTTAGTAATGGGTTCAAATCATAGGGAAGAAAAAAGACTTGAAAAATGGTATTGCTTTCAAGTCCCTGTTTAATATGATCCTTGCCTAGAATGTTGGGTATAACAGCACAGTTGTTGAATCATTTTTTTAAAAGAATATGTATTGAAACCTTATTTCATCTCATATTTCACTGCTCCCTTGGTTTCAACCAATACAATTCCACTACACTGGAATCCGAAAATAAGTGTTATGTGGTTTATAAAATGGCTATTGAAAATAATAATTAATTTCTACTAAGTTAATCCAATTTCAGAGTCTAGTTCAGTCATGGTTTAACCTCACAATGTATCTTGAAGGTGGATTCAGTTTAATGATAACTTGGCTCAAGCTAATCAGTTAGCTTTATAGTCAAATGATAACTGAATTAGCAAAGTGTTCTATATTAGTACTTCAAAAGAGACATCTTACAGGTGTTAGGTTTTGATGTGTTTCTGTATCAGAATCAGAAAATATAGTATTTGTTCATCAGTTAGTATTTAGAGAGAGCACAGTTGAAATATAGATATTGTGTGAAGTGCAATCAAAAGTTTTCTTCTTTCATCAGCCTCTCAGAAAAGAAAAAGCTACTGTCCTATTGGAATTAATATCTGAAGTTAATAATTTTGCCTGGGTCCAACACATTCATCATTATTTTCACTGGTCCTTAACATGTTTCACAGTGTCGTCGTTAGATGATTAATTACTATACTTAATGTAAATTAATGAAGCTTGCTTTTTTCAGATTCAGGTTAGTCAATTTAGTCAAAAGGTCTTGGAATTTAGCAAGTAATTGCATATGTTGTGATATTGTTGTCCACCCAATCAGTCTTTTATTAAACATGTCTTGGGGGTCAAGAGATGGAGAACAATAAGATGGATTCAATTTCATTAGTCCTTACTGTGCATATGAAAGAAGATGATTTCCAACTAGTTAACATGTTTAGGTTTAGTGGTAATGGGCATTAAGTATGTTGTATCTTTTTACCAACCTATTCCTCTTTTTTGCTATTGGTTTAATAATTTGTTCTATTAACTAATATCTGTAAAACATAGAAATTATAAAAAGAAGGCCACAGACATTAACAATTTGTTTAGATTTGCAACCTTGCTCAATTATCCTTTCATTTCTCATACGGCCACACTGAAGAATATTGATGAATATATATTATTACTGCCACTAAAATTATAATTTTAATTATAATGTACCATCATTCTAAGTATATCCTTAAAATGGTACCTTCAAAAGCAATACATTTGTATTGCTCTTAAATGCTTGAATGATTAGTAATGTCCTTCCATATTCTTGGGCAAGAAAACAAGATGCATGTTCTTGGACAGATTTTCAGTAGACCCTTTTTAAAGATGTCACTTGTAAGTATTCATTACTGCAGGAAACATACATATTCAGTTCTTGATTATCACTTGAACGGCAACTGTTACCTATTTGTTCAGTAGTAACCTTATGGTTGTGTTCCAAAAGCAAATGAATGTATTTCACCTTTGATTCAACATTGTGCAAATTTGTTGAGATCTGTGTTTGTGTGAATTAGACTAGACTATGATATATTTTGTTTCTGACTTTGAAAATAGACAAATTTTCAGTCAAACTATCCTGCTATAATGATGTCTGGCAAGGAAAACAGATTTTTTTTTCATTTGCCTTATAAAATGTTAGAGGCTATTTCTGTATTGCTTAGATGGCATGTTTTATACTTCTCCCAAGCAACATTAAGGTATGCATGTAGTTTTATATAAGTTGTTGTATTTAGAAACAACTTCTGCCAACTAGGCAAATGGGTCAGTATATAATTAAAAATAAAATCAAGAAAAATGAGGAAAAAGAATAATTTATAATTTGAGAACAGCCTTAAAATGAGAGAGTGATAAAAATCATACATTAAAAGCCTGAGAGTAGGAGCTCGGAACAAAACATCCTGTGTTTGCCTTTTGTGGGAACTCAAAACTAGTAATTGTTCCTGTTTCTGTCCTAAGGCCACAAAATATATAACCAGCATGTTGAATTGAACAAAGGAACTGATAATCAATGCTGTAAGAATAATTAAATAAGCTTTTGATTTATAAGAAGGTGGGCCATAGCATTCTATATCAACTAAACGCTCAATTTGTTAGTTCTGGATCATTTTCAAGACCCCAAAATACATGGGATGTAAGTAGTGGAATGCACCCCATGTGGGATTGCATTTAGTCCTCAACCTGTCTACGTTTAGAAGAGAAGCCAAGTTAGATAGATTTGCAAGGTTCTTAATTGTTAATTTTAGTGTTTTAATTTTATAATGTTTCTTTCTGTATTCTATATTTTAGTAGTTATTTCTCTTGAGTATTCTCTTAAGGAGAAAAGCAGGATGTCAATTGAATTAAAAATTTAAGAATTTTGATATGTTAAAAGGGTGATATGCATAAGACTTCTGAGTTCCTACCTTCCTAAGAAATGGTGAAGCCTCCAAATTAGATATAACTGATAAAACATGACTATTGTTAGCATTTGTACATGCAGATATAATGCTGAGTGCAGGAACTGCAGACTAGAAATAAACTGTTTTAGTACTTGCAGATAAATATATCCATTCCAAAATGTGAAGTTCATGTCCTGTGTATCTTGGATATTGTTACATTTTACAGAAAATAGTAGAATGCATATTCAGGTGTTTGTTGGATCCATTTTTAACCATGCTGTTTGATTATTTTATAACATGAGTGAAGGCTATTTTTCATGATGCATTTAGGGTCCTTTGGTAATACTTTAGCTTCTACAGGCTGCAACTGAGGAGAAGGCTAGTAGGCTATTGGATATTGTTGCTTAAAATCTAATGTGCTTCTGGCAAATAAATTCGTATTCTGTTGGGATCTCTGCCAACTGGCAACTGTTCAGATATAAAGTGCATTGATGCTGCTTATGGTTTGGCACATGGTGGAGAAAGAGAATAGATGTGCATATTTCCTCTGGTTGATAATGAAATGAAGTCCATCCTTTATCTTGATTTAATATACTGTAGCACATCATATGAATAGGCAACAGTTTATTTTCTAGAAATAAATGCCCTGTGTTTTCACTACTTCAGACAGTATCAGTAGAGAGAGAAAACATTTTGTAGAGTGCTTAGTAGATTGCTAATGTTGGAGGTGTTGAAAATCCATGGTAGCTATGTTGACAGTTAATGAAATCTGAATAAGATGTGTTGTCATTTAACTGAACAGAGATGTGTTGCTGTTTTTTTTAAAAAAACATTTCAACAAATATCAGCTAGAAACATTCCTTTGCATCCTTTTTAAGTGAGGCGTTAATGTTCTCAACTTTAAATGGTATTCACAAGATTATTATTCAGTGTGCTTGTTCTGTTTCTTTCAAATCAGAAGTCAACTAGAATTGTATGTTTCCAAAGAGTTGTTGCTGATCTTGCATTTTCAGTTCTTGCATAACAACAGTTCACTGTATGAAGTTCACTGTAGAAGGAACATATTTGTGTAACATAAGATGAATGGGGTCAAAAAATAAGGTTTTTTACCTATGCTTCCTTTTCCAATTTACAGTATGATCCTTGTTACTTGGTACAGATTCATGTTGAGGTTGGCAGTCTGTTAAAAGCTCACTTCTAAAAACAGCAAATTAAATATCTCTTGTGTTTGCAAGATGGAAACCTTATACAGTAACCTGATTGTGATGAAGCCTTAGTCATATTTCCTAACATGAAACATTCTTTGCACCTAGGAAACTAATGTGTTGGGGGTTAATTTAGCTTTTTCCCTGGCATGTTTTTGACCCAAGAGTTGTACTATATGATCTGCCTTATCATTTAAAAATGTGGGAAAGGGTCTCTTAATTAAGACTGTTTTTGAAAGTAGATTCTTAACATAGCAAGAGCATCTTTATTAATATGTAAGATTAACGAGCTGTGTTAAACTAAACCAAGATTTATTTAACCACAGTTTATTAAATATATCATATTGGCTGGATTCATACATTGTGTTGCCAGAAGCCATGATTTATAAAACCCAGGTAATAGGTTCATGCAACATACTAAAATTAATTATAATAAACCACATTTTTTCTTGAGTGTTACATGAATATATCGCAATTATTTCTTGAATGCATATACATAAGTGTACAATGTGTGTTGAGTTGAAAGTATGGATTGTTACAAATTTTATTTCTCAACATTCCATGGTTTCCATGGATTCATGTTGTATATATTCATTTCTGAATCACAAAGTAATAAAAACTATGAGGTATCAGTGGAAGTTTCTATAATGTAATATTGTTGAGTTAGAAAGGAATAATAGAGCTAATAATTAAGGTTCTGCAGAGATCTGGATTCAAAGGGCAAAATGTGATTTGGAGTGTGTATACATGTTGCATTTGTCAGGAACACCTTAAAGCAATTGTGTCTGTTCCTGGGATTGAGCAGCTGCCTGCAATTTTGGGAAAGGATAAGTTTATGTAGTTAAAGGCCATTCTGGCTGGTGCTTACATGCATTCTGAATTACATTTCCCGGTTCAAATTCAGTTCTCTGCCCAGCACAACTAATCATGTTTTTTGAAGGGTTTATGGAGTAACTACACTAGGAAATAATGAAAATAGTATTAATTGGTGGCATAAGAGAGCTACAACTGGAATTGTAAGGTTGCATAAAATTAGTGAAAAGTGCTGTATCTATTTTCAAAAGAATTAACAGATCTTTGAAAATGTATTATATTTACATTATAGGGCAATATTTCTCA